TATTTGCCTCACTCCTGCTCAAATTCAGCCTTGGGGATTGTATATTCCAAGGGTTTCTCCAAGTGCAAAAAGCATCTGAGGTTTTCATGAGGAACCTGGAGCTGCAGCAGGAGCAGTGGCAAATAATCAGAGGGGAAAATACAAAGAGAAATAGGAAAACAATGGGAATAAAATGAAGGTTGAGCGGATAAGAAAGGGAAAAGGAGGATTATCCTGCCCCAGAGGTTAAAAGCAAAGATGTACATGGCTCATACATGAAGAAATTAGGAAAACAAGGGAGGTCCTGAGCCATTAGTGCCCAAAAAAAGTGAAGCAAAACGTGGAGTTGTTACACAGCTGGAATGAAAGGGAACGAAGCAGCATTAATGTGCTGAAAGGAGACAACAAAGCAGCAATGAGAATGGATTTTGTAGAGAGCAAAGGATTAGCTGAGATCCCAAAGTACAGATGGTCTTGGGTGAAATAATCACCTTTGCCCCAAGGGAGTCAGCAATGCCCACGGGTTGGTCACACGAGGAGGAGGAGGAATTGAGATGGAACCAAATGATTCCATCTAATTGAAAGCAGGTCCCAGGGCAACTTGTAAACCTCCCTCCCAATTTCTGTCTCATCCCAGAAAGAAAGAAAGAAAGGCAGAAGGAATAATCTTCTTGTGTTTTGGGACAGTCCAGGTCATCCTGGTGAAGTTGAAAACAAGTATTAGATAATTAATAAGTCTTAGTTCATAAGGATCACTATTTTAAGGAGTGTTTAGGCCAAACCTGTCAATGTTGATAATTTCATTCTCCTTCTGTAAGTTTTCTGCCTTCAGAAAATGCTCAGGATTAGCAGCTTATGAGGGAAAATTTCAGGGTAGAGATACCAACACTTTTCCAGCATTAAAATATTCAGAGAATCCTAAAACATACCAAGCTGGAAAGGACTCACAAGGAGTCCAACTCCTAATTCTCAGTGCTGAAATGAGCACTCATGGCCATTGAGCTGAGGTTACAAACTCATCACCAACACAACATCCTTGCTCCTAGGAGCCAGAATTTCCCATGGGGAGTGTGCAGGGTGGGAATTTGCAGAGTTGAGTGCCAGGGCTAGGAGGCCTGGGGAGAAAAAAGACACTGTCCCAGGTTGCCCAGGGAGGCTGTGGCTGCCCCAACCCTGGCAGAGTTCATTCCAGGTTGAATAAAACCTTGAGCAACCTGCTCTGGTGGGAGGTGTCCCTGCCCAGGGCAGGGGATGGGGCTGGATCATCTCTAAGCTCCTTTCTAACCCCTTAACAATCTATGAAATTAGGAAATGTCAGGTGTAGGCAAAGGCAGATGTGGTGTAGATGGGGTAAAGTGCTGCAGCAAGACAGGAGTGTTCTTCCCTCTCACCAGCAGCACCCAGTGAGCCTCTGAAAGAGCACCCACTCCTCTGGGGTGGGAAGTGGCTTTGCCCAAAGCATCATGCATGGAACATTCTCCATTAAGCCATACTTTGTGTTCAAAAGATCTCTCTCTGTGCTATGTGTGTGGCTACTCAACTTGAGCTCTTCAGACCTCTCTCCTGCAGCCAGGCTCCCATTCTGATCCTATCAAGACTGTCTGTTTTTAATTTAACCCTTCCTTTTTGAGTGGATCTGGCTTGAAAGGCATGAAAAGCCTGAGCTCCCAAGCTACCTTACCTCTTCAAGAGCCACAGGAAGGTAAGTGCATATATTTTTAAACCACACCAAATTTATCCCTAATGCAACTCACTGGAATAAAGCTCCTAAGATCAATGCAGCTGCACTGACCTTTTAAGTGACCCCTGAGGTTTTAAGTCAAGTAAATTTCTGTTTTCCTGGGCAAAATTTTCCCTTTGTGATCCCTTCAAATGATCCTAAGTGTGCCAAGTAATGGTGACTGGTGTTTATCTAAGCAAAGCACATGTGGTATGTGTGTTGTATAGGGGGATATGTGTGAATCACTACCAGCAATGGTTATAAAGCTCTTTCAGCCCCTAAAATCATTTTATTTCATTGAAGAAACTGCAAACAAACTCCCCAGCAGTGTGGCTGCCTGGGTTAGGTATCAATCATTGGGTTTGGATCATTTAGGGCTCTAGGCTGAGATGTTACACAGTCCCCAAAGGTGTTTAGGGGAGGATGCAAGAGCTCAACATTGAGGGGCAATTCTGGTTCTCCCCTGGGGAGGAAAACACACAGTGAGTAAAACATCCAAACCTGATGCTTCTCCCTACATTGCCCTGACCCAAGTCCCCCTTGTTTTCTCTCCTAGATGAGCAGGACCCCAGTTTCTTCCCAGTTTTGGGGTTGTTTTTGCTAAATCTGTGGGATCACCTCAACAGGGAGCCCTGCCCTGTTCACCCAGAAATTTGGCAGCAAAAGGAATGGTGTGTGTTTGCAAAAATACACAGGAATATCTGCTCTGTGTGTGTGTGTGTCTGCTCAGCCAGTGAAAAGAGCTAATCTGTGATCCAGAGCTCAGGGAGGGCACAGCCAGGGCTGGGAATGTATGAGAGTTCCTGGGTGAGATCCATACTCATCCCCATCACCCCTGGGACAAGAGGGACAAAAAGGGGAAAAATAGGTAAGAGACTTTTAGGGCAAAGAGGTGACCCTGCCAGCAGCACGTGCTGATGGTAGGAAGCCTCTGCCACCTCATTTCTGCCACAAAAAGCTGTGAAATATTCGATTTAGAATATCTCTGAGTGTGCAGAGGTTTTTCCTTCCTGGGGGTTACCTTCCTTTCCCTTCTCCACAGATGGGGATTGTCACCTCTGCTTATTGCCCCTGAGTTAGCCCCAGGAGAGGCTGAAGTGCCACTGTGGTTTGGGGACAGGTTTTGCTGCTGTTGACCAAGATACAACCCTATTCCTCCTCTCCTTTATTTATCTGTACCCTAAACAGAGACTCCAAAAAGCAGCTCCTCTCTATGTGACTGTGGGACAAACAAATCCTAAAGCTGTGACCCAATCTGGCTGAAGTAACACACCTTTAATCTTCCAGATCTGCTTTAAATATAGATCTGGCTATAACCTAACACTGAGCAAAGCCCCAGCCCTCCTGGAGAAGCAATCTCAGCTGATGAAACAGCCAGTCAAGCAGCTTACACTCTCCCTCCATTAACAAGTTGGGCATTAGCCCCATTTCATCACTGTTAATTCATTTGCTTACTCATTTGCTCCTCAGAGAAAGTTGTTAGCCTGTTGGATTTTCTTTTTTTTTTTTTTAAACCCTCCAACTAAAATCCCAGAATGATGCCAGAATGGCCATTTCAGGAGAGGATGCTGTAAGAGATTTTATTTCTTTATTTGGTTTGGTTTGGGAAAAAAAAGGGAATTTTGCTGGCACCACAGGGAGAGAAAAGCCTTTCCCTCCCCTCCCTGCTCCTCCTGAAGTGCTCTGTGTATCAGTGCATCCTCTGTGGGCATGGATATGTGTGTGTAGAAATGCTAAAAATAGAATGCAATACATAAATATATAAAATATATATAATTATCTACTTTTATAGAGATCTAGGTTGATTTAGTGTGTGATAACTGCACAGGTAAGACAATATGTGTGCATGGCTCTAACCCACACCCTCTACACAGGGGGAAAAATGCTCCCGTGGGTTTTCCTGGTGGGATAAGGAGCTTTTTGCTCCCCATCCCTGAGGTTTGGCTCGGTGGAACTGATGGAGGAGCCACGACTGTGTCCTACCCACGCGTGGAATTGCCGGCAGCGCTGGGAACCTCGAGCCCTGCACATTCATTAAACCCTGACGATTGCCATTCCTATTCTTTTAAAGCTTTTTCCTCATCTATTTACCATTTACCAGCTCATCCATATGGAAGACATGGCTTACACTTCCCTGAGAACTGTACTTTTAGGGCTAATTGATTCGGGTAATTAATTTGTTCTACCTGCTGGATCAGATGGAAATGCTGTCCGTGTGCCCAAGGATTAGCACTTGCCTTTCTAACATCTTTCTTAATTATCTAATAGCATGGGTTGTGCGAATTCTGGCTCTATTAGAACACTTTTACTATTAACGGTAGTGATTGGAATTGTGATGACAACTCGATTTCAACAAATTAGAGCTTAAAATCAGGAGATGAAGGAGTAGCGCCTTCTTTTAATTTCCCTGAGTTTAACATCAATAATTAGAGCAATTTGCCGAGATGCGAACCGAAATTATCTCGGCTATGATGTGGTATATCACCCTCATTTTAGCAAATTGACTCCGGGGAAATGAATGGTACAGATTAGGGAGGGGGAGAGAAAAATACAAACAGAGGAAAGACCCAAAAAAAAAAAAAAAAAAAAAAGAAAAAAAAAAAAAGAAAAGTGTTGGCGCAACAGAAAGAGAGGGAGGGATGGGAACAAAACCCCGACGGGGTGAGAACCTAAGCGAGGAAAACCTCCGTGCGGGGGAACAGGTTAGGAAAGCAGTGTGGACAAGAACCCCTCATTTATTTCATCTTCCTCCCCAAGTTTTTTTGCTTTTTTAAAGAAGCGATAAAAGGAGGAAACACTTAGATTTGGGCAAATCCCATAGCGCAGCGCTGGGAGAGAGGCTGATGTGGGATGCGGGACAGGCTGGGCAGCATCGGAGAGACTCTGCCAGGGTTCGCACCTCTTCGCCCCCTCCTCGCCCCCAGGGTGGTTTTGGTGGCCCGGCAGGTCCATCCGCCCCCCTCTCGCCATTGGCTCCCAGTACATCCCCCTTCCCATCGCTCCTCAAAGCCGCGCAGCGCCCCGAGCATCCCCAGCCTCTCCTCGCCCCAGCTGCGTCGCTTTACACTTCTACCTGGGGAGATAGTTCTAAAAATTATTAACATCCTTTCTTTTCACTCTGGAGTTAGGGAAAAAAAATCGGTATTTATTTATTATTGTCATTTTTTTGTGTGTGTGTTTCTCCTCTCCCGGTGCCGCCGATCGCTCCTGTTTTTTCCTGAGGTTGCTCAGCCAGGTTCGGTCCCTTCGCTCGAGGGGGAGATACAACCGAAATGAA